AATCACCAGTTGTTTAGATGGGAAAACTGTCACATCCTAGGGATGCTTGTTTTTGCCTCGATGCCAACTACTGGATGACCAGAAGTGTAGGACCAGTTTACCGACCTCAGACAACCTGCATCCACCCAATGTGGTCAGTCCTGTTTGCCGAAGCCCTGAAGGAGGGGGAACTGGGTGGGCGGACAGCCCTGCTGGGAATGTGAGGACTCCCAGGAGCCTGGTCTGGACGTCAGCAGAGGCAGCAAACCCAGCTACTTCCGTCCATGCAGTCTGAGCCTGACCAGCAATGTCTTCTCCTGAGCCCTGACTTCATCCCAAAGCACGACTCCAAAGTCAATAGGGGAGAATCACTCCCCTTCCCCATCCTTTTCAACTGGCATTCTTTGTAGACTATGGACAGATGGTGCTTGGACTGGGGGATGACCGTTTAGATCAGAACGCACTTGTGCCTCATTTACAGGGACAGAGAAGTGGGTCGAGGCTTTTGAGTGGAGGAGAAAACAGTTTCACTACCGTTTTGAGTTGCAGTGCAACGTCCCTCTGCTACTGTTGTTGGATGGGGTCGCCCCCTGACGGCCCCACCTGCGCTCCCACCCCCACAACCTGCTGGGGAAAGGGAGTGAAACCAGCATTTCACTCAAAACACGCAGAGAGCAGACTTCCACGTTACCTAACGTCACAGTAAAACTCAGCCACGGAAGTGGCAGTGAAGCCAATAACACATCATTCCATTTGCCTCGATGCTGGTTCCCAGGTGTTCTGGAGAGGCATAAGGATGGTTTCAGTCCGGATTAACCTGGTCCGTTTGCAAAATGAAAGTGAGGCAGTCAATTTCTCTCCATACACATGGTTTTTCTGGGGGCTGCTGGGTGCTGTTTACCCCCAGGGAAAACGTCAAGTGTGTTCTGTTCTTAATCTCTCCCGAACTTAGTCTGTGGATTTCAACTCCACTGTCTCTTCCCCATAGTCCCCTCCCCATGGTCTGGTCTCCAAAACAGTGTCCCTATCTAGACCAAGGGGACAGACCTCTTGCATGCACAGTGTTCTAGGTGGTACTCTGCACCTTCTACACCTTCAAGAATGCCCAACACTGGGCTGCTCTCAAGATGAATTAACCAGAATTAACCCAAACTACACCATCCTGGAGTACTGGAAGGCATATAATCTATACCACACTTTGGATGGAATTGTTTCTTCAGACCCACAATTCGAGTATCTCAACCACTAAAATCCTGCTCATTTTAGGCAAACGGCGTAGGACCCCAGGGAGGCGCATTTCAGAAATCATCATTCACGTCCATTTTCCACGCTGGGTTATGCTTCTTGGGATGCAATGTCTGTTATGTGGGTGGGAAACAAGAGTGAAGATAGCCCATGGCTTCTAATTAGCAAGAAACTTTCGGAGCCGATACAATGCCAGGGAAATTGTATTAACTTGATGAGCGTCGATGCCAAAGTTCAGGGAAATTTAGAGTCCCTGTGGTTTCAAACCAAAATGTTTATGCTTTTGCTTCTTAGCAAATATGACACCCCCCACAGACATAGGAGAGAGGGGGGCAGTTTGGTAAGGGGGATCCCAGCCCCAGTCCAATTTTTGGCTTTATGGTGACTGGGTTTTAGCAAAAGCAGCAGATGTGACTGCCCGGGAGCGACTGTGTCTCACTGAGCGTCCGCACATCATCTCTCTTCACAAAGTCCTTTTCAGGGGTGGCTCTGTTCCCAGTTCTGATGGCCAGCACTGCCACATGTCTGCATTCTGAGTCTGCCCTGCACCAAGCCGAGCCCGCTGTTCAGGCTGCTTGCAGCAGGACCCTCCCCTGTGAGCTGACATCTGCTGGCTCTCCACCCACCATGCAAACCCCCCTGCTCCCCAACCCAACAAAGTCCCCTTTCCAGGGGACAGGCCTGGCTGACTGTGCATGACTCTTCCAGTAACTTGAGTGTAGATGCTTCTATTTCAGAAGAGAATTCCCGTTATGCTGAAGCCAAATGTCAAGGATCCAAATGGAGATAAGACAACTTCGAGAAGGTGCAGACTTCATTTGAATAATGATGTTAGGATTAGCATATACTTCTCTCCACACGCACCATGGGGCCACCTCCTTTGCAGAAAACCCAGCAAAAGACACACAATTACCCCAAGGCTAACAAAGAAGATCTTCCAACAATTGCAAGTCTTTTAAAATAATCTTTGTTGTTATTGTAACTGGTTATTTCTGACCATTTTATTTTTTTCTTTATATATGCGTATGTTTTCTACATAGTTTACAATAGACACCGATGTCCTTGACAATCCTGAAAACAATGCCTTAGAGGCACAATGCCCACAGTGCAGTGTCTTTTAATTTTACATCAAATGACTCTGGGCTGGCTCCTGGCTTCATTCTCCAAGCTTTGCCAGCCTCAGTTCTCAACCCCAGTAATAACATGTAGAAGACTCAGAACTCCAGCTCCTGGGGACAGGCTCAGTGAAGTGTCCCTGTTTATAAACACTCAGGCATGCTACAGACAAGGCATATAGGAAGATCACAGTGGGAGCTGGTGTAGACCACCCCTCCCAGGGAGGATGGTACAGAGAGGACGCCGTGCTCTACTGGGAATACCCGAGTCATTGCCGTTTGGGGTCACAGAGCCACCTGAGATCACTCTGTAGCAACTTTCCACTCCTGCTCCTGTGGACCCTGTTTCTTAGAGTTGGTCTTTAGATATGCAAGTCTACCCTTGCTGGCCTGTGAGCTCGCTGTGAGCACAGCCAGGATGCAAGACTCTACCGAGGGAAGCAAATGGGACAGGACACTGTCCATCCCATGGGTAAGAGAGCAAAGGCGGGAGGGAGAACCGGGTTAAGATAAGAGGGTTGCATCTGAAAGGCAGTGTCAGAATAATAGCAGCATTTCTGAAGCAGTCATTCTCTGCTGGGTGCTGGCCTAAACTCCTTCTTTCATATTGAAATTTGTATGACAAAATAATTTGAAACCATAGAATAATAATGAGGTGCCAAACCGTAAGGGCCACAGGAATTTAAGATGCTACCTTTGTCATTTTCGCTTACGATCTGCCTCTTTTAAAGAAATAAAACACTACAGATTCAGCTGAAAAGTAAAAAAAAAAAAAAATTAAAAATCTGAATTCCTGTCTTCCACCCTTGGACCACTGCTACCATTCACTTCTCTTGTATGGAAGTATACAGAATCAAGTACGTTGTTGTTGCTATTATTTTGAACAGATTGTTACCTGTTCCATCAATGAAGAATAAGAAAAATTAGAATTTTTATTATACCTTCCAAAGAGTTTGTTTCTTGGAGATAAATGGCTTAGCCAAGACTAAGAAGGGCTATTCTAGCCCCAAATCCAAATAAGAAGCTATTTCATCTTAATAAATAAAAATTGTACTTAATCTTCCTACCCTTAAGTTCTTTTACTTCAGATCATTTCCTCTGGTTCCTCCAATACCATTTTATAAGTTATACAAGAATCGTGCAATATGAAATTTCTTTCTTCATTGCCACTGATCCAGAGCTGCCATGTTTTTCCTAACAATAGCTTGATCTTGGAATAGCTGTTTGCTTTTGCGATGTGTGTGTGTGTGTGCCCGTGGTGGGGGTGTGTGTGTGTGCACGCGCGTGCATGTGTGCCCCCGCCACTTATTCACATCCCTCCTCTGGACATCCTGTGAGTTTTTTGTCTCTACCACAAAAGTAATTTTGAATATCTTCCTGGTCATCGGATGGATGGACGTCTACATACTGTTAGATTGGACTATCATTCTGTTTATCTCTTTTTACCCTTACTCACACAAATGGCAAGCTTCATCTGCAACTGTTTCCTTGGCAACTCCTTTTCTGTACACATAAATACTATTTTTAGAGTTCAGATTGGGTGCAAAAAATTGATGCTTATATACAGTGCTTTCATAAATACAGCCCAAAGTAGTTTGAGAGATTGGAACCCCCAAGAAGTGAGCCCCATCAGTCCCCCATGAAGTTACCATGGTCAGAGGAAACAAAATAAACGTGTTGGTGATGTCAACATTTCCCCAGAATTCATGTGAAAAAGAAAACTTCATGTACAACTCATTTGTTAAATAGCACTCCTTTATTGACACTCTTCTATTCAGTAAAACCTCTTGTCCAATTCAGATATAAGACATTTCAACAAGGAAAACCAGGACAGATAAACTAGGGGTATGAATTTACATACTGCCCCGAACAGTGATGTGATGATAGGTGGAGAAAACCGATGTCCAGCATGGACACTCAGTAAACGGCAAGACATGACAGAGCCTGGACTATAAAACTTGTACAATAATCAACAGATCTTGAAGACAGGACTAGTTTGGTTTTTGTTTTTGTTTGTTTGTTTTTTTTTTTCCCTTGATAATATTTGCAAAAGAATTCCGGAAGCCAGAGAAACTAGTTTCCATACACACGCAGGGCATGGAGTAGGGTGAGGGGAATGAGGATCTGAGGGCACAGAATTTAATGAGACATTCCCTGTTACTATTGTGCAGTGCACACCCCTGGCACCCAGCTGCACCTTTGCATACATGCATCAAGAGCAGTACTCACTGCAAATAAGGGTTACATTCAGTTATCTTTTACATATGTCTACTCTCAGGCTGTGCACAAATGATGTCCACTGTGCTTTATGAAGACCCAAGAATAGAAATATCAACTCCCAAATTCTTTCCAACTCCCAGTGGCCATTTGCCCTGAGACAATGGGTAACATCCATGAGTTCTAGGCTTCTTACATATCACTGAGCTGGTCCCAGAAATCAGGTAAAAATCTTGTCCCAGGAGGTTCCCAATATCTCCTTGTAATTGACCTAGAGGCAAATCAAATCCTGGCTTACATCCCGGCTGCTATTGTTCTCCGGGACTCTGACACCTGCTCAGAAACAAAGCTTTGTTAAATCACTCCCTATTTCTGAACAAACTCGCTGCTCCACCATTCCAAAAACAGAAGGCATAGAGGTTAATATGAATGTAAGAAAGGAGCTCACATGGGGTCCTGCAGCCTTTCCATGTAGTCTCTGAGGTCCCGAGGGCCCCCCAACCCCGTGTCCTGACACACCCACTTGATGTTGTCCTCACTGTCAAACAGGATGGAGTTGGTGTACGGGCTGCCGTCCTCCGGGAGGATGGTGGTGTAGGACGTAAACTTGACTCGCTTCTGCTTTGGGCCTGATGGATTCAGAGGCTCACTTTTCAGGTCCTTCTCACAGACATAGTCAGAGGGCCTGAGCAGCTGGCTGTGGAAGGTCTTCTGGGAACCGCCGTTGAGAAGGAAGTTCCTCTCTTCGAACTGCAGCCCCCTGTCTATCATGGTCGTGCCCTCCTCCGACGGGAGGGTGATGTCCAGGGGGTTCTCCAGAAGTTCCACCTCATTCCCAAGCCAGACCCAGTCATGGGAATGGGGGATGTTGTCTTGCTCTCTTGAGGTGAATGTTTTGTGTCTGTATTTCCAAGCAAATGTCACACAGTTGATCAAGAAGACCAAAATGGCCAGGCAGAAGACACAGAGCAGAGTACATGCCTATCTCCAAGTCAGTCAACCCCCTTGAGGTCACTGTCAGGTCACTGAGATTACTGGTTTCTGGTAATTTCCCTTGACTGGGGAAGCTTGTGAAGGCATCTGAACTGCCATCTTGAGTGACTTATCCTTTCCTTCCTGCGGAGACCATGCGGTTGTGCTTTTGTTGCTACGTTCCTCATGGCCAACAGAGGCGCCATGTTGGAACCACTCCTGATCTGCTCCCTCCTGGTTCCCTTCACGCTCTATGGCATTACTGAGGTGGTCTTTGTATTATCCACTGATGCCTTCAATGTCTTTTGTGCCTCCTTGGTGCTCATCAATTTTTGGTTGAAATCTGACTTTGACATTTCCTTTACCCACAGCAAGAACGCTCTTCCTCTTGGTCTTCTGACAGGGCTCACTAATCATCATTTCTAGTTTAATCAAGGGCCCTTGCCCTTCACCCTGTGCGACAACCACCAGCCATCTAGACTGAAGGTTTGCCTGGACAGACACCACCATTTCACCCAATGACGACACAGTAACTGAAAAATCCTTGGGGTCATAAATGTCTAAGGGTATCACCAAACCATCACTGACCAAAATCCAACAACTAAGAAAAATGAAATTAAAACTTTATGTTACAATTTATTTCCTTCAAATTTATAAGCACATACTCAAATTTGTAAACCACATATGTGGTTTATTATGAGATATGTCTCCAATACCCAGACGGAGAACAATAAATGTGTTTTAAAATCGGGATTAGTTGCTATCATACATTTAACTGGCATAAATAATGGGTTGTAACTGCACTGGTGTGAGGAGCAAATTTGTTTACCGTAGTCCTGTGTATATTAACTTAGTGAATGTCATATAACGGAATTCGACTTTGAATTTTCCGAAGAGTTTGAAAGATCACAGGATGCTTCTGAATCGATTTCAGGTGCAGCTAATCATGCTGCTGTTCAAGATGAATATCACTCCACGCAACCTTTATTAGAAAGACATGCTCATTTGAAGTATCTGAGAAAAGATGTATTATGGGGACTGGCATGCTTGAAGGACACAATGACCTTGGTATAATTCAATGGATTTGCTACAAGTTTAGAGATGGATCAGAGATTTAAAGTTGTCCATAATTAATATAAAACAATAGATGTCTGGTGCCTATTAGCCATACTTCTTTAAATAATAGAAATATAATTTGCAAGGACCAATTATTACCTATTTTGGAAAGGAGAAGACGTGAACCTTCGGTCATAGTCTACCAAGAGCCCCCCATCACAGATAACCCATTGCAGAGTGGTATTGGGACACATGGTTAGTGTGTGAAATATCTAAGAGGACAATCTCCCCAAAGTACTGAGCACTTTTCTCAGACACAGACAGACTGGAGAGAGAAAACAGAGTTTCAAGGGTCTCCTGTCCTAGCTACGAGTGCTCTATTGATCTTCTCCGCAGATGTAAGAGTGAGGGAGGTGATCTCGAATGACCGGGGACTCAAAGATTCTGGAATCCCACCTGCTGCGGGGTCTGGATAACGTCCTGGGCCAACACCGCCGAGACGATGGCTCTCTTGTCCACTCTGTGAGGCTGCAGGGCAAGGGACAAGCCGGCCACCAGCTGCACACCCAGGTCTGCGATGGTGATGCTCTCATCCAGCACGATCACCATCTTCTCGGCCAGGATAGAGTCGGACAGCAGCGAGAGCACCTTCGAAGGAAGCAAGAAAGCTCCAGGGTCAGTCGCACACATCAGTAATGAGAAAAAAAGGAAAGAAAAAGGTTAAATGCCTACCAAAAGGAGTGGGGCTCTGTAAGCAGGTCATTTGTTTGCCACCCTCCTTGAAACCCCAAAGTGTGCTCTCAGTGCTAAATGAAAGCTTCAGAAAGTAGGAACTAGCTCAGATCCAAAAAAAAGAAAGAAAGAAAAAGAAAAAAAGCAGGGACCTACCTCTCCCTTTATCTAGCTGTGGTGATAGATGCAGGGGAAGTCAGCTGCCACATTAGCAGGAAACATTCCTCCCAGGGACAAGCTATTGCTGAAGTGTCAGAATACTTTTTATTTGGGGGACTGCTACCTTTTTACCCCCCGAGAAACACTGTTCTCTAACATCCAAGATTATCAGAAACCTTGCTCTTTGAAATCCCGCCGTCAGGCAAAATGAACTTCCCTCTCTTGCCTTGAGGACCTAAGTCACTTTGACACAGAGAAGCAGATCTGATTTCTAACTCCGATGCCGGATTTCAGATAATGCAACATTCCCCATGTGTGTGAGTTATGTGTCTCACTAGCGGGCAGGACCCTGGGTCCACAGCACGGTCCAGATGGACGCCGGCAGCTCAGCTGCCCACAGTGTGCTTCATACTAGTCTTACCTGTCCTCAGCCCTTGCTGGCTTCCCATCAGACCCTATCTCTTTTGTGCAAAACAATTTCCCACATTTCCTCCACATGGGGTCTCTCTAGGAGCAATAAGTCAACAAACCTGACTTATGTCAGATAATAGATTTGCACCCGATGATCTTAGGACAGATGATCTGGACTAGGACAACTGGTTGAAATACAGATGGTTTAGAAGAGCATTTTTTAATGTTTAATCACACACCCTCCATTAAAGAACAAGGAACTATAGGGGAACCTGGGTGACTCAGTGGGTTAAAGCCTCTGCCTTAGGCTCAGGTCATGATCTCTGGGTCCTGGAATCGAGCCCCACATTGGGCTCTCTGCTCAGAGAGCCTGCTCTCCCCCCGCCTACTTATGATCTCTCTCTCTGTCAAATAAATAAAATCTTTTTAAAAAGGAACTATAAATAGACCCACCTAATATATTTTGCTTCCTTTGATTTATACAATATTAGTCATTTGTTTTCTTCAAAGAGCTTGATTTAATTTAGTGGTAATTCCCCCCAAATTAAAGAATATTATCTCCCTGTTGGTGCTGGCCCATTAGAGCACAGAAAATGTAACAGTTTCCTCAAAACTAGTAGTTATATTTTGACAACCTTTTTTACTGAAAATATTTAGAGAAATGGTGTCTTGCCTTCTTCCCCTGCTTAATTTTTGCTCTTTGAGTAGATGTTTATAATGTAATAATTGTAGATCCTTGAAGCATCATTGAGTTCGCTGGGGAAAATCCAACACAAAAAGGAATCTTAATGGCCTTTAAAAGTCATTTCGGCTCATAAAACATCAATTTGCAACCAGAGGGATTCAGACCTGGACTAATATCGTACCAATAGAGCAGCTTGTACAAAAATCACATTTGGGTGAGCCCTAAATTGGGACGTGACAAGGAATATTTAAACACTTTGTAAAGATAATCTGTTCTATAATCTCTTCACAGCCCTCCTGTTAAAATTAACTAAGAAATATTTTCAATCATCCTCTAAGAAAAGAGAAAGCATGACATTGGGGAACTCTGTGTGCGTAAATAGCTACGATAAACAAAATGTGGCCAGATGTTGGCCAGATGTCGCTGAGTGCCCTGGGGTTGAGAGCTACTAATACCAAGGATGTAAGGTTGCTTTTGTTGTGTGTCTTGAAGTAGCATCCCCTAGGGAAAGGGTGCGAATCCGGTCTCAAGAGCATCTCTAATTTGCAGAAGCTTCTCTGTGGTTAGACATGAATTTCTGAATGTGCCGTCTACAGGCTGATGAATTCTGTGTATTGCGTTCATGACTCCCTCCCATGTGCAGACAACCCACTTGCACAGAACCGACTCACACTAACGTATCTGGACACAAGCAAAGGGTGGGCTGAGAATTTGGGGAAAGCATCAAGCAGTGCATGAAACCGGCACCGTCGGTGGTCATCCCCGGCTCCTGGCCCACCAGGGTCCTGCCTCCTTGGAGCTGCATGAATCTGGGCTCCTCCACCTTCATGAACTCGGCCATGAGGTCGGTGATGTCCAGCTGCCAGTCGGGGGCCAGCATGGAGCTCAGCTGACTCACATTGGGCGCCTCGGCTACGACCTGGGTGAGGACGCGCACCGTGGTGTGCTGGTACTGCAGGGAGCACCACTTGCCCCTCTTCTCCTCGTCCTCCCCTTGGTGGGCTGGGAGCACAAACCAGAATGAGCCTACTTTTCATCAGGGTGTTTTATCCTCAGTTTTCCAGCAACCGTGGGGCTATGGTCATGAAATGACAGGACCCGGCTCCTCGTCTGGTCAAACGTGTGTGCCCACAGATGCACTGACGACATCTTCAGCCATCGGGCATGTGGGGTGTTTCCCCGGTGCCAGATCTGTGGCTTCTCGCCCAGAATTCAGGAATCAAAAGACGTTGTCTCTTGCCTTCAACGTGTTTTCCCTCAAGTGGCAGATGTAGGCAGCCGGAGGACCAGGAGGGAGGTTTGCTGCACGGTGGAAACGCCCTGGGGTGATCCCGTGGTCCCCTTTTGGTTCACAGCAATGTGGTCAGAGTGTCTAAGGGTCGGAGCCAGGAATCCACATATTTCAAAGAGCCCCGGTGATTCCAAGGGGCAGCAGTTTGGGAACCAGTAGCTTGAGCTCAAGAATACATGCAAACTAGCCTCACGGCACCCTCCACCCTCACTCAGACAAGGGACATGAGTGCTCTGATCCTTATTCTCCTCCCCTGGGAAATCGGGGGTGCCCACCTCTGCTGAGGTTGTCGCAGGGAGGGGAAGGGCACGAGCCCTGTTGGTTGACCTGAAATTGGCACCTGACGCTCATGAGCGAGAGAATTTGAGAGTGACTGTGTTAGCAACATGGTGAGGACAGGTGCTAGGGGAGATCCCGGCAGAGTTCAGCTCCGGGAGGCAGGGAGCTAGGATGGTTCCTGCACCTGTGTGGTTGAAAGGGGCTCCTTAGGAATAACACAACACCCATCCCACCTTTATGACTCCCCACTGAGGACACCTATTACAACAAAAGACGCTCGAAATTGCTCCTCCCGCTTAGAAAACCCCGAGGGTTTGGGGAGCCCCGAGCCAGGAACCACAGACAAAGACCCACATGCATATTTCTTAATAATGCACTGTGTCACAGGCAGTGTCCAGAGTGGCGTCGGCTCTTGGGGGGAACATCAGCGGCCACCATCGCTTCTGTCACTTTGCACATTTACCTGGTTTCCAGCCATGGGTCCCCCAGAGTGCCCAGCAACCTTCCGTCCCGGAGCAGGACCCCCTTCTCTTCTAGCATTGAAATTCGCCCAGCTGCAGTGAGGGACAAGAGCAGAGCAGCCGTTAGCAGCCCACACTGTCTTGTCAAATAATCATAGCCGCTTAAGTGGCTGTTAGACTTCATAGGACATAAACGCTTTCCTCTCTAATCCACTTTCTGTTTACACACAGGGTAGCACTTCATCCCCTCATTTCAGCTTTTCTTCTGCCTCAAAAAAAAATCAGATCTGCAGCCCCAGGCACTTATCGGCTCTCTCATTAAGCCCCCATGCTGGGGAATTCATTCCCTCGGAAACGCTTGGTTCCGTGAGCTGATAGCTATTTCTAAAGTCAAGACAAAAACAACCACAAAAATCACTTATTGATGATGATATTTGGGGACGTTTCCTCTTCTTCTTTCTCCCTCCAGGGTGTTTATACCGGGTGTCTCTTTATAGACTTCACCACACCTGTTACGGAAGAGCTATTATAAAAGCAAATTGATGTGGCTGTTTTTGTGTTTTGTGACAATGTTAGCAACCAAGGAGCGGCAAGCATGCTGCTCAAACGTGGGCCACTGCGTTTCCCGATCAAATGTCTGGATAAAGGGAACACAGGCTAACAGCTGGTAAGGGGAGCAGCGGGGACAGGGAGCTGGGAATCTGGCTCACTCACTCCCAACCTGAGTCCCCTGGCCCTGCATGCAGCCCCAGAGAAGCCAAAGCTCCCAATCTGTCAGCAGACGTCAGAAACCTGGCTTTTTAAAAAACAATAATAATAACAACAACAACAACAACAACAACTTTGGTGGTAAGAACAGTTAACATGAGATCTACCGCTCTAAATTTTTCAGTGTAATATATAATATACATATTTTCCAGACCAGATGAAACATATTTAAGGAAAAGATTCGGTTGCAGGAGCAAGGTGTGGGGGAATTTTGGCTTCAAGGTCACCCCCACCGGATGTTCTGGCAGACTAGGCAGGTCCTGACTATCTCCAGGATGTGATGTGACTGTAACCAACTCCCCCGACCCCATCTGCCTCTGGTTTCCTCAGGCAGACCGTCAGACCACCTGCTAAGATCAGTTCAGCAGACAGGGAGGGCTCACTGCAGGTCCCAATCTCCTCCCCAGCCCCAGGGCAGGCGCAGGACGGGTAGGGAGAGAGAATGGGGCCACCGGGGTTCAGTCCAGGGTCCGAGAAGAGATTCCAAGTTGATTTCCAAGTATTCCACTGGTGATACTCTGAAAGGCAAAAGCAAACCAAACAGAAAACAAACAAACAAAAAACTTCCTTATTCTGAAAAACAGCAAGTAGTCGGTCATCGTTTCTCTAAAGTCCTGCCCCTCCCAGTTTCAGTAGCAGTGACACGTTTTGTCTTCAGGAAGCTGGTATTTCAGAAGATGCTCAGCCTTCAGGAAGCGGATTTTCTTCCCACGGTCAAGGGCACCCCCCACTTCCCAGCCTGAGCCTCCTGCACCAGCATGAGACACCCGCCCCCCACAGCCTCAGGTGCAGGGGCCTGCAGAAACCCAGGCGCCCTGTAGGTGCGAGGGCAGACGCATCCCCCACGGGTCAGGATCCTGGGCTGCTCTCCATGGCCTCCCAGCCATGTTTCTCCACCTGCCCCTCCCTGGCCCCCCGCAGCGACAGATGTTTCCATGTGTGTTCGTACGTGTAGCGTGTGATCCCCCCTGAGGTTCTCTGCCCTTCCCCGCACATCTTTCTAATCCCATTCACTGCTTCCCTTTGACGTCTCCAGGCTCCTTGGGTTTCCAGTATCATTCTTCACTACAAGGAGCTGGCTTCTTGGAGGCAAGAATGATTCTAGGACTGTGGCAGGCGGTTCATCTGCCCCCCTTACCCTCAGTTTCAGCAGGTGATCCTTCTTCTGACTTGTCCTTGTAAGGTCAGTAGTAGCCTAACTGCTAGGTCTGTGCCATTCATCGTCTCATGTGAATATCTACCACCGCACATTGTCACATGAAGAGGGGCTGTACTGGTTATCTACTCTGTGTCCGTGTAGCATATATGTATAATAATTATATTCTTAAATATAAAATGTAACCTATAATGACAAATATTATATAAAGTACCATACTATATATAGTATGTATGTATAGTATGTCCGTGTAGTATATATATAGTAATTATATTCATAATATAAAATGTAACCTATAATGATATATAGTAATGTACTATATAGAGTATGTATGTGTAGTATGACATATACTTTGTAGGTTTTAATGAATTATTGTGGACTTAATGCATGTTATATATATATATATATATATATATATATATATATACCATGTAAGTGTTATATCCATACACATTACATGCACGATATATTCATTATGTATATTTATGTTCCATAGCATAGGTATAATTCTCGGCATGCTTTATGGGTTATTGTGTATTTCATGTATATTTTATTTTATAGAACATAAATGTTTTATTGCACATGCCTTATCCATATTTATGTTACAGAGAGTCCTTGGGTTATCGAACAGGAATATGAAGGGCTATCATCATTCCCAAGTGCCTAAGAAGAAGCCAGGACCGGGCAGCACGATTAACGAGCCCAGGGTCACAGAGCCATAAGCGGCAGAGCTGGGACTCACCCCTGCATGCCCTCTCTGGCATCTGCATCTTGCAACATCGCAAGGTTACTTAGAAGAAAAGCAGGAGTTTCACCTGAATGCACCACTCCCAACCAGCCTTGAGTTTGCCACTGTATCCATCTGTCTGTTTCAATCGCAGGGACCCGGCCACGCACTGTTTTCAACCTGACAGATGTGAAGCTCCGTATCAAGGAAGAAAAGCGACAGAATCAGATGGTCTGTTTCTCACACGTGCACGAAAAATGCACACACCTATATGAAGATAAGCAAGTGCTATAAAAAAAGATAACAGTCCTTTTTCGTGCAAACCTAAAGGATATTTAATATTCTTTACATAGTTTTGCAAAAATGCTGCTTAGTCTCTGCCGCTTAAGGTGCCCTTAGATCGATTTTTGGTTTTGCCTTGTATTCAAATGACCGCTGAAATCCCAGCAGGGCTAAGAATCATCAGTCTATGGGGAACGGGGTAAGGTTCTCAGAACTTAACACGTACTGTATCCGTTTAATCCTCATGGTGCTTGTATAAGGTAAATTGGTATTCTTCTTCTTTTGTAATGCACCAAGTGAAGCTCAGGGAGGCCATTTCATCAGGGTTACAGAGCTACCAAGAGACAGAGTCAGGATGTGAACTCATGCCGCCTGGAGGCAAAACCTGGTTCTTAAGGAGTTTGGGTGACTTCCTCAGCACAAATACACAGGACAGAAGACACACCCTTCTCTCTCAGGCAGCCTGTGTAGCTGGGACCTGGAAGAATGAGCAGCCAGGGAGAAATTCATGACCCATCTCCGTGGTCTTGCAGCTAAACTCCCCAGGGGACGGCCCGGGATCGCCAGCTCAGTGCAGTGACTTGACAAGGGAACCTGCGCCAACTAGGCTCTCCCTTGCCTGCTTGTGTCCCCAGGTCACCAGGTCGGACACTCTCTTTCCCAAGCACTTAACGTATGGAGTCTGCAATAATTAGTAAACTAATCAGGGTTCTGTATGGGCAAATAAAATTTCAAAATAAGAAGAAATTGATTTATTGGAAGAACACCTATGAAATGGATTAGATTTGCTTGGCTCTATAAAATGGCAGAATTTCGTTCTGTCTATGCAATTTCTTAGCAAATTGCTCTGATGTACATCACATTCTGGTTTAATACTGATTCCATAATACAATTATTTTCTTTCTCCCCTATTCTTTTTGGCGAGGTTTTCTGAGTGGGTGTGAAGAGACTGTTTTTAATTATATCTCCCTAAAGCTCCCATAGGGGCTTGTAAGATGAACATATTTACTGGCTGTTTTCACCTCGGACTGGCAAGAA